GTGGCTGGCGCCTTAGCCGGTTGAGCTATAGGCGCCGAGCCAGGGCTGGGTTTGAACCCACCACCTCTGGCATATGGGACCGGTGCCCTACCCTTTTGAGCCACAGGTGCCGCCCATTCCCTATTTTCCCTACCCACTCCAGCACAGGGTCCCCAGAGCCAGCACTAACCCTCCCCTCCCCCACATCCAGATGCTGCGGATCTGCACAAGGTACACCCCAGAGCAGGACACCATGACCTTCTCAGATGGGCTGACCCTGAACCGGACCCAGATGCACAATGCTGGCTTTGGACCTCTCACAGACCTGGTCTTTGCCTTTGCTGGGCAGCTTCTGCCACTGGAGATGGATGACACTGAGACAGGACTGCTCAGTGCCATCTGCCTCATCTGTGGAGGTGCGGGGGCGCCCCCTGGTGTCTGCTTGGTCTCCTTTCCCACCACATTGCACACCTGACTGCTGAATCTGCAGGAAACCTGGTGGTCTCTTCCCTTTGGTATTGTTGCACCTGGTGCCATCCATAGACTTCTCAGATGCTGTGCAGACTTTCCAGCAGTCTAGAAAATAGGACACTAAAGAGGCAGATCCAGGGGGAGTAGAGGAGACCATAGATACTGGTGCAGAGATAGGAATCTGGAAGGAATGATTTACCAGAGAAAGCCCCTTGCTGAGGGAGGAAGGTACAGGGAGAATAGGGAAAATAGCCTGAGTAGGGCTCCGGGACAACAGGGAAGTAGCTAATGGGACAAAGTTTGGGGCCTGGAGGACTGCAGCACAGGGCCAGTTAGGAATCAGCTACTTGTCACTGTATCTTTCTCATTTCTCTTCCCCTGTCACTCCACCATGCTTGTCCCCATAGACCGCATGGATCTGGAGGAGCCTGAAAAAGTGGAAAAGCTGCAGGAGCCGCTGCTGGAAGCCCTGAGGCTGTACGCCCGGCGCCGGCGGCCCAGCCAGCCCTACATGTTCCCAAGGATGCTCATGAAAATCACCGACCTCCGGGGCATCAGCACCAAGGGTTAGTCACGAGGCAGCATCCCCTCTGTCTTCCCACAGCTGCTGGTCTCCCAGGTCAGACCAGTGGACAGGCAGAGACAAGAACAGCGTGATTGAGAGCCAGGTGACCTACGTCAGAATCCTAGTTCTGCCACATACTAGTACAGGCAGTCCCTGAGTTAAAAACATCTGACTTATGTACACTTGCACCTACAGATGTTGGCTATTACAGTAAGTCCTCGAATTACAAACATCCAATTGACACATTACAGATGGGTAATAGGTAAAGGTCCCTGTTCCAACTGACATACAAATTCAACTCAAGAACAAAACTATAGAACCTATCTCATTCATAACCTGGGGACTGACTGTAATGGGAGATGTTGGACAAATTTCTTTATTTTTTTTCCTTCTTTTCCTGTTTGTAAACTGGGCTGTACTTATACCCTCCTCTTAAGGTTATGGTGAGGACTAAATGAGTGTATATACAATGTAAAGCTGGGCACAGTGGTGAGTACCTGTAGGCCCAGCTATGTGGGAAGCTTAGGTGGGAGGATTACTTAAGCACAGGGGTTCTAAGTTGCAATGACCTGTGAATAGCTACTGCACTCCAGCCTGGGTGACATAGCAAGACCCTATCTTGTACACAAAGACAAACAAAAAAACCCCCACACATACATACAATATACTTAGACCTGTGCTGAATTAAAATTCAGTGCTGTCTAGATGCCGAGGCTCCTGTAATCCTAGCACTCTGGGAGGCCAAGGCAGGAGGACCCCTTGAGCTCAGGAGTTTAAGACCAGCCTGAGCCTGAATGAGACCCTGTCTCTACTAAATATAGAAAAACTAGCCAGGTGTTGTGATAGGTGCCTGTAGTCTCAGCTACTTAGAAGGCTGAGGCTTGAACCTAAGAGTTTGAGGTTACCGTGAGCTAGGCTGATGCCATCGCACTACAGCTTGAGCAAAAGAGTAAGACTCTGTCTCCAAACAAACAAAAATAAATTCAGTTCTGCAGTTACAGTAGTCACATTTCAAGTGCTCAGTAGCCACATGTGGCTAATGGCTACTGTATTGGACTGCAGCCTGGAACATAGCATTTGATAAATGTTAGCTGTTGTTATAAGGTTATTAAGAACACAACTGGCAAGCTTTGAACAGAGGGAGGTGGCTGGGGACTGGGGCTGGAAGTTGTGCACAGAGTGACCTTTGAATGAACAGCCTGAAAGGGGATAAATAGGTGGTAGGCTTGGGAGAGAAGACCAGGTAGAGAGCTTCTCAGCAGAGGAGTAGCATCCAGGAACCTAGAAGGGAGAAGGTGAGCTTTGGACAAAGAAATGCTGGGAGCCCCCTTAGGGGAGTCAGAAGGCAGGTGAGAAATGTTAGGGAGGTGTCCTTAAGGGCCACACATGTCTGTCTTCTGAACCTCTTTGCCTCTTCATTGCAGGAGCAGAAAGGGCCATTACCCTGAAGATGGAGATTCCCGGCCCGATGCCTCCCCTGATTCGAGAGATGCTGGAAAACCCCGAAATGTTTGAGGATGACTCTTCACAGCCTGGTCCCCACCCCAAGACTGAGGATGAGGTTCCCAGGGGCCAGAGTAAAAGAGGCCAAAGTCCCCAGCCTGACCAGGGCCCCTGACCTCCCCCACTGTGGGGTTGGGGCACCAGGCAGCAGACTGACCATCTCCCAGACACTACTAGTGACTGGGAGAGGACCTGCTCTGCCCTCTCCCCACCCCTTCCAATGAGTTCCTTGTTTTTGCCAAAGTTTCCAGGGGTGCCTCTGTATTCACCCCCTTCCTGTTCTAACTGGCTCCCTTACCAGTCCTGGGGGCCTGCCCTGCTCAAACCAGGAGAGAGGGCAGAGGGGTGAGCTTGGGTTTGGACTCTAAAATCTCAGCACTGCCCTTCAGATGCCAGGATCCTAGGCTCCCCAGGGCAGGAGGAAGACCCTGCCATTCCACAGACTCCTCCTCTGCCAGGTGCTTGGGCCTCTGGGAGCAAACAGGAACACTAGAGACAAAAAGGGGTACAATGGGGGAGGGCTGAGCCCACCCTCTTGCTCCTGCCCTTGGTGCCTGATGCTATGTGACGCACCTGGTGGGTGCATGCTGCCCTCTGTGCCCCATCCTTGTGTCAGATCAGGGTGGTAGCAGGCTGGGCTTTGCATTTCTGGGGTGAAAGGGACAAATACAGGTCCATTCTGCACCTCTTTGCTTGGGGGTGGAGTTTACCCTGTGCCCTCCATTATGAGTCGTCGCTCCCCCACCCCTGTCACATGCCTTGGGCTCCTCCTGCCCCCATCTCAGCCATGGGCCAGGGATGCTCCCACACTACAGAGGGGCTGGGGGATCCCTCTCTCCCTAGTGCCTTTCACCCTTGACCCCCAAGAGCAGCTTGACCCAGGGAGGGGGGATGCTGCTTGGCTGATCCCGCCCTGACCCAGAGGAAGCCTCTATTTATTTATTAGCTTTTGTTTACACCCTGGAATTGACCCCTTCCTCCAGGGGTCTTGGGTGGGGGAGCCCAGGGCCCCTGTGACCGTTCCCTTCCTCCAATCCCAAGTTTGTATTTAGCTGCCAAATAAAATTCCCACTGGCTCCCCTTTTCTTTGGGGGGTCAGGGTGCTGTCCCCTCCCCTCTGTTTACAGCTCCCCTCCACCCCGCTGTATTGCATATTGCTGAGTTTTCTATTTTTGCAAAATAAAGTGATGGAAACTCATGAGATGTGGCTCCCTCTAGGAGGTGGAAAGGGAAATTCCCAGTTGACCTGGAGAGGAAGCTGGAAGAGGAGGGCAAGCTCCTTATCTGTGGGGCCCTACAGCTTTCTTTTTTTTTTTTTTTTTGAGACAGAGCCTCAAGCTGTCCCCCTGGGTAGAGTGCCGTGGCATCACAGCTCACAGCAACCTCCAACTCCTGGGCTCAAGCGAGTCTCCTGCCTCCGCCTCCCAAGTAGCTGGGACCACAGGCGCCCGCCACAACTCCCGGCTATTTTTTGGTTGCAGCCATCATTGTTGTTTGGCGGGTCCGGGCTGGGGATTTGAACCCGCCACCTTAGGTGTACGTGGCTGGCGCCTTAGCCGGTTGAGCTATAGGCGCCGAGCCCCTACAGCTTTCTTAAGGGAACAAAGAAAATAGGATGAAATGAGCCTGGATGGGGGTGGAAGGGTGGGGAAAGGGAGCCCCGAGGGGCACCCTGAGTGATCAGCCTCCCATAGCCACCAGGTAAGTTCTCATGTTGGGTGCGAGGGGGCTCTGGGAGGGCATGGCTGCACTTTAGAGGTCTCTTAACCCATCCACAGTCAAGGCATGCATATGTGCATATCTGCCCTGTGGGGAGGAGATTTGGTGACCTTTCATCTGATTCTCTTGAGGGTTCCCAGGCCAGAAGAGAAAAGCTCCAGCCTGCACCTAAGTTATACTGTTGCTATTTTATAGCAGCCCTTCACCCAGAGAGCTCTCCTGCCCTCTGTGATCCCACTTTCCCCTTATGACACTCCCTCTACCCCTCCTGACCTCACCCTTCATCCACTGACCTCTGCTGTCCCCACACCCCCACTATTACCTTCTCCTTCAGTATCTTTCCTTGCCCCAACAGGCCTCACCCCTGCAAAATGCCTTTGCACTGCCTTTGGCCTCTGCCATACACCCCTGTACTTTTTCTCCCCTTTGCCCTCTGTAACTCCCCCTTAGAACCCCTCCTGCCATGGCTCACCTTCTTCCATGGGACAGTGCCTTGCCTACCTTGTCCCTGGCTCTCTTCACTGGTGACCTGTGCATCTGGGAGAGAGTTTGAGGATGTGGGAGTAGGGGAGAAGAGAAGAGTAGGGGGAAAGCAGAAGAAGAAAGTGAAAGAAAGAAGCTCTAGAGGAAACCACAGGGCTTGTGGGGAAGGAGGGGTCCTTGCCATGGTAACCCTGGGTGTGGGGGAGGGGTGATCTTGTCTAGCCCATAGCCTGGGGCCAGCCAAAGCCCACCCAGAGGAGGAACCCCTCTCCTCCATTGCTTCCTCCCAGCTGCTGTACCTCCACAATCTGTGTGATATCCCACTATGAGCTGGGCATTTAGCTAGATGCTGTGGCTACAGCAGGGAACATGACCCTGGCCTCCAGGAGTGCTCCTTCTGGTAGGGGAGACGGGTCTGTAAACACACATCTCTTGGCTGTTCCCTCTCAGAGCTCCTAGTGGTAAAGTGGGCCAGGGACAAATCCCATTGTTATTGGTCACAACCTGTCCTCTCTACAGGCATCATCCTTGCTTGGCTCCAGCTGTTGCTCCTGCATACTCTGCTTCGCCCAGCTCACCTCCAGCTCGGTACTAGGTTCCATGACTGTCATAACTCCTGGTGCCCCTCATACTTTGAGCTCAGTTTTGAGCCTCTTTCACCAAGTTTCCAGCTATCTGGATCTTGAACTTCTCTTTTTTTTTGAGACAGAGCCTCAAGCTGTCCCCCTGGGTAGAGTGCTGTGGCATCACAGCTCACAGCAACCTCCAACTCCTGGGCTCAAGCGAGTCTCCTGCCTCTGTCTCCCAAGTAGCTGGGACCACAGGCGCCTGCCACAACACCCGGCTATTTTTCGGTTGCAGCTGTCATTGTTGTTTGGCGGGCCCAGGCTAGAATCAAACCTGCCACCTTAGGTGTATGTGGCTGGCACCTTAGCCACTTGAGCCACAGGCGCCGAGCCATGGATCTTGAATTTCTCAAAGCCTCTCCACTTTTTGTGTCTATTGCACCTTATTCCTACTGATTTTCTTATCAAGCCTTGTTTGTAAACAATTGATTGGAACATTTAATTCTCACGATAATCCTATGAGTCCCACATGACAGATGAGAAAACAGCCACAGGAAGGGTTGAGTAACTTAGCCAAGGTCCTCACCACTAGCAAGTGATGGGGCTAGGATTTGAACTTAGCAATTTGGCTTTAGAGCCCCAGTGGGTACTGAGTTTCAAAATGAATAAGAATCTCTAAATTCCCCATCCCTACAGTACGTACTGACTCCATATTCTTCTTACCATGCTCTTTTCTATATGAAGAGGTGGAAAGATCACCAGTTTTGAAGGAAGCCACACCTAGATTTACTTTTTTTATTTTATAATTTTTATCTTTTTACATACATTTATACTTTATTTAATTCTTCTATCAACCTTCAGAATATGTGAGTTAATTATTCTCAGTTTGTAATGGTTTAGTTTGACAAAAATATATACCACTTTAATATGCACCAGCAGCATTCTAAGTGCTTTGAATAGTATCAACACATTTGATCCTACTGTAGGATATATTATTATTGTCCCCATATGCTGGAGGTGGTGCTTTCAATCCCAGCCCTGGCCAAAAATAAATAAATAGCCTAAGTTAAAAATAATAATGGGCGGCACCTGTGGCTCAGTGGTTAGAGCACTGGCCCCATATACCAAGGGTGGCAGTATCGAACCTGGCCCCAGCCAAACTGCAACAAAAAAATAGCCAGGCGTTGTGGCATGCACATGTAGTCCCAGCTACTTGGGAGGCTGAAGCAAGAGAATCGCCTAAGCCCGGTAGTTGGAGGTTGCTGTGAGCTATGACACCATGGCACCCTACTGAGGGCCATAAAGTGAGACTCTGTCTCTAAAAAAAATAATAATAATAATAACTGGAATTAATTCCCAGGCAGGCCTGCTAACCACTCACACAGGGCCAATAAACAGCTGAAGAAACTGATTAAAGATGCGCTTACAAATAAAATTTTTCTGTATAATGCAGCATGCAAAAAAGAGATATTTTGAGTATCTGTGTGGGAGTTGGTTTTTCTCTGTCTTTTTTTTTTTTTTTTTTTTGAGACAGAGCCTCAAGCTGTCCCCCTGGGTAGAGTGCCGTGGCATTACAGCTCACAGCAACTTCCAACTCCTGGGCTCAAGCGAGTCTCCTGCCTCCGCCCCCCAAGTGGCTGGGACCACAGGCGCCTGCCACAACGCCTGGCTATTTTTTGGTTGCAGCCGTCATTGTTGTTTGGCGGGTCCGGGCTGAGGGATTCGAACCCACCACCTTAGGTGTACGTGGCTGGCGCCTTAGCCGGTTGAGCTATAGGCGCCGAGCCGTTTTTCTCTGTCTTAACCCCATTATCACCACCTCCTGCTCAGTTAAGTTCGGTGTGCTGGAGGACTTGGTTCATCAAAGGGCTAGTTGCAAGCACATGGTGGAATCACTGTAGGCTCTTCAAGCTTCATTAGCAGTTATAGCTAAAAATGCATTAATATTCTGTAAAGGCTTTACAAATAATTCTTAGTTTTCAAAAACTGAAGAACTTGTAGTAACAGACCAGGATTTAAATCCTAGACAAGCCACCTACCAGCTGTGAGACCTCAGGCAAAGTTCTTTACTTGCTGTCTCTAAGCTTCCATCTCTACATCAGTACATTGGGGGGCAGGGGGAGCGGACATTAACACCCCTCTTATGAGATTGTTGTGAGGATTGATTGTAGTGAACCATGCAGATGCAGCACGTGATGGGGGCAAAATAAATGAGCTTCCTGGCTCGGCACCTGTAGCTCAGCAGTTAGGGCACTGGCCACATACACTGGGACTGGTGGGTTTGAACCTGGCCTGGGCTTACTAAACAACAACACAACTGCAACAAAAAAAAATAGCCAGGTGTTGTGGTGGACAGCTGTAGTCCCAGCTACTTAGGAGGCTGAGGCAAGAGAATCACTTAAGCCCAAGAGTTTGAGGTTGCTAAGAGCTGTGACGCCACAGCACTCTATCCAGGGCGACTCTGTCTTAAAAAAAAAAAAAAAGAAAAGAAAAGAGAGCTTCCTCCAAATCTCTGCATCATCTACTCCCTTGGCCCAGCCCCACGCCTATTTGCTCCACCTTTTTCTAGATCAGTCACCCCCACTACCCCCAAGTCTCCCCTACTCAGGGTGTGTCACTTCCTCCTCTGCAGCCTCTCAGATCAGCACACAAAGGCTGCCACTGCCGCCAGAGGAAGGGCTGTTCTGCACGCACCTGTGAGTACTGGGGCACTAGCTCTCCTACCTCCACTCCTTGCAAGCCTAGGCCCACCTGGTCCCAGGCTCCTAGGAAGAAAACTTTGACCTGGACACCAAGGGGCTCTCTAGACTTGGGAAAGGTTTTGAACTCCTTTCTGCATCCATAAGATTCCTATCCCTGTGCCCCCTTACACTTTCACAACTCCCATCTCCATCTCTCTTGAATCAGTTTCCCTAGAGTAGGGCTGGGAAAAGAGGTGGGGATGTGTGAGTGCTGTCATTCGAGTGTCTGCCACAAGCCAGCGTAGGATTCTCCCAACATTTCTCCCAGCTCCCTTGCCAGCAGCCTGAGGCTTTGTCTTCTTCCCAGTTGGCATCTTGGCCATAGGTGCACACTCCAGGGAGACTGCAGTTCAGCAGCTCAGTTCCGTCTTTTCTTTATGGCTCTGAGTGGGCATCAGAGGGTTCTGACTTGAGAGGTGGATGTTTGGAGAGAGGCTCTGTCTTTCAGCTGCTAAGGAAACCAGTAGGGTGTGCATTGAGTCAGAATGGAGTCCAGAAAAATGAGACAACTATTTGGTCCAGGACAAGAAGAGAAGACTGAAGAAGACCCCCAAGGAAAGAGAAATGGGATTAGGAAGAGCCTGCCAGGGTTAGTGGGGAGGACATGATCTTTGATGGTGATGGTGTCTGAGTTAGAAGGGAGGCAAGCAGCAAACTTGGTCCCTGCCCTGCCTCTAGTGGACTAAGTG